ATGTGTGGGGGTGCTACATGTGGAGTGATGTCACCCGCTCATGATTATTAATGACGGGGGGGGGGGGTCCATGTAGAGTGACGTCACCTGTTCATGGTATTATTGAGGGGTGGGGGGGGGCTGGCCGACGTGGAGTGACGTCACGCACGGGACACACAGACATTGTTGGCTCATTGTCGTAGTGAATGCCACGGTTGTAACCACCTCGACGTAGACACAGGGAGCCCCCAGTGCAGCCTGCCGCAAGTCACAGGGCTTCGGTGAAATGGTCGCCGCCATAACGACGTTCCGGGACCATTGCCCGTAAGAGAGAAAGGGCACGAGTATAACGACCGCGTGGCCACGGGATACTTGACACGGTGGCCGATGGCGTTGGCCACTGTGAGGACCAGAACACGGAGACCATCGGTGGTGTTTGCTGGACGTCTCCTGACAGCTCCAAATGCGACAGCACAGTGGAAAGGTTCAGTCGGACTCTTTCTGCCACGCTGCCACATGCAGTGAATGGTTTGACAAACGGACTGGGACGATCATGGAGAGGCTGTTTTAGACGCGTTTAGTACAACATCACATTCAGCGACAGGGTTCTATTCTCCTTAATGTATGGTCGGGAGGCACGTCGTCTTGTTAGGGGGCCGGGGTGAGGGGATGGGTACGGGGGGAGGCCAGCCAGAGAACTACACAGTGGGAGAAGCTTCCAAGGGTACACGCCTGCACGTGACCACCCAGCGGACAACTTTGGGGGCAAGCACGGACACATGACGTTGTTCAGGCACGGGACGAGGTGGTCAGTGGGAATGGTGTACAGAGGGGGCGAGGTTTGGCTATGGTCCATACTCTTTAGTTCTATTGGGTAAAGTCACGTAGGTAAAAAATAAAATAACATTTAAAAAAATAGCATTTTACCTACGTGACTTTACCCAATAGAACCAAAGAGTATGGATCCTAGCAGTCACGAAAGCTTTAAATCTAGAATTTGGCTATGGTGCTTGCCACTACGAAGAGGCGTGTTCAGCAAAGTTTACTCGCCCATGGCGAGGCCCGGTGCGGGTAAGTCAAGGTTGTGTGAGACAAATCGTTTACAATTCTTTCGGGGAAAGATAACCTTGGGTTGTACATAGGGAGCAGGTGAATCCATGGTTATGGCTCTCAATCAGAGGGCACGGAAGTGGCGGTAGGGGCCGAGGAAAGGGAACTAAATGGTAGGACAGGGAAAGAATGGGGCCGATTACAGCAGCACACGATCTGGCCGCTTGGTTGCGACTGCCATGCCCCTACAGATAGGGCCCCCATGCTCAGGACATCGTAGAGAGGCCCAAGGTCGGGCCTCGGAGACAGTGGGGGGACAGTTGAGTGAACCCAGGCGAAGGGGATGGATGGGAGAGGGGGGCCAGACAAGTTTTGCTGGTTGCCAAATAATGGCAACAGAAGGAAGGGGGGGAATGGAAACTGGGGGGTGGGGGGGGGGAGATTTTGGCTGGAATATGGGGGAGGGGCCGGACTGCAGCTGGGGGCTGTTGAGAATAAAGTGGAGAGAGGCACGGCAAGAGCAGGGCCAGGGGGGAGCAGGGCCAGGGGGAGCAGGGCCAGGGGGAGGTGGTGGGGGGGGGGAGCAGGGCCAGGGGGGAGCAGGGCCAGGGGGAGCAGGGCCAGGGGGAGCAGGGCCAGGGGGGAGGTGGTGGGGGGGGGGGAGCAGGGCCAGGGGGGAGCAGGGCCAGGGGTGGGTGGGGGGGGGGGCACGGCGAGTGGGAACCCGACGTCGCCTTGTAGTCGGCGTGAGCCCCCCCGTGATTAATCGCGCCTACAATTTGTGCACTCTGCTCATTGCTACGGGTAGCCGAGGCGCGTGACTTTATTATAAGTGAATGCAAATGGGAAATCAGCGATTGGACAGCGAACCCCACGTGCACTTGAAGAGTGGGAGGCACGCTGACTTGGTGCTGACACGTCAGGCTGCGATGTTTGTGACGTGTTGGGGGGGGTTGGTCGCTCTCCGATCGCTGTCGCAGATTCGCCACTGCCCTTCCCAAGAAGAGCCTGAAATGAAGTGTCGCCCCTTCACAACAACCCCCCTGGGTGCTCAGCTGTTCTGGAGTCGCCCCACTTCTCCGGAGGACAGAACACAACGCGGAGTCTCTACGCATCGTCTCAGAACGTCATTATTGTTTCTCGTCGTTGTTGTTGTCCATTGAGCCCACCAAGAGAGGGTCAGGGCGGGCTGGATACACAGGGGCGCACTCAAGCACCGTGTACACGTCTGTGCTGTGCTCATGTTTCATGAAGACACGTGCCATTGAAGAGTGCCGTACAAGACTATGCTGCTGTTATTCGTTGATACCTATTGCCGGAAGATACCTTGCATTGGAGAGCGATGTACGAGCTGGCCCTGCATTAATGAGGGTTTATTGACGATACCACTGGAGATCGCTGTACGAGCTGGCGCCGTGATTCTTGGGAATCATTGACAGAGGTTAACCGCTGAAGAGGGCTGACCTGGTCAGCGCTGGTTCAGTGGTCGCGTGTTGGAGCGGTTCCCGGCTTCGCGAAATTCGAGGTGCAACTACGAGGCAATCAAACAAAGCGCTGAGCTCCAAGCGCCTTTGTCTCGGCCTGAGTGGCTACTCACGGACTCCATCGGTACTCCCGCTGATACTGGGGGGCGGGGGGGGGGCAATGCACCACTGCTGCCTGCCTGCCTGCTGCCTGCCCTACTGCTGCCTGCAGTCAGACAGGCAGCAGGCAGCAGCCAGCAACAGCGCCACTGTGCTCCAGTAGCCCTGGCAATGGAGCAGCTCAGCGAAATCCATAATTTATGGAGCTGTCTGGAGGCCAACGCTTCACCTGCGTGGAATGCTGATGAATAGAGGGAGAGGGGGGGTCCATTAACGTGGCTTTGCCTTGGCAAAACCGGCGAGATAAATAATGCAAGCGCAGCACGTGAGTCAGACAGAAGGCGTTTAGGCTGCAGGGAATCGAAGCAATTGCGCACTAATCATTTTCAATCCTTCTGGTTTCCCTCCCTACACAATAACTGTCATACATCCACATGGATGGGATGGCTGGGTGATTGGTTGGGTGAGTGACTGAGTATCAGGGTGAGGGGCAGGGGGGATGGCTGCATGGGTGACAGCGTAGGTGGGTGGATAAAAAGCAGGGTGGCTTGGGTGGCATTGATGGCGAAGTGGCAGTCGGGCTGAGCAGGGGCGCCTGGGTGCCATGCAGCTGGGTACCGGAGTGGCCGGGCGGTTGGATGTCTTCGTGGGTAGATGAGTCGGGTGGCTGCTGGCTGCGTTGCTCTCGGTGCGTCGATGAATGTGGTGCGTCAGTGGCAGCAGGAAGGGCCAGGCTTCCCGAGGTAACGGAGACCTCCTGGCATCAACGTTGACCCCGGGCGCTTCAATCTGCAGGAAGCAGCCGGCGGTGCCCGTGCAGGCAGCAACAGGCGGGCAGCAGCGGGCCCCCTGACTTGGCACCACGTGTGAGAAGAGACTGCACAGTATACACATTGTGCATATACACACACCGTGCCTGTATCTACAGCAGTGTGAGGTGCATCCGTATGCGTATATGCACATTTTTTATGTGTTTATATAATGTGGTATGTGTGCAGCCGTGTCTGGTATGATACTACATAGCGTGCATACTATGACTGTCTGGTTTATGTCCGTGTGAGTATGTGTATATCTGTGTCAATGACTGCGTGTGTTGTTAGGGGAGCGGTACGGTAGTGGTTAGCGCGCTGCGTTCATGGCCAACAACAGTGAAGATTATCTTAACCGGTCGTGGGTCTCCGCTAGGTCGACTTAGCCTCAAAGGAGTACCTGGTGCGCTGTGTAAAACGTCGCCACTAGGGAGACAAAGGCGGTAGGGCGTGGTATTGGCCACCTACCCCTCAGCTCTTGAGAGCCACTCTGAGAGAGTTACCGGGCCAGGCGTCTTGGAACGAATACCCCCACATTTAGCCTCGCATTCGTACTGCTGAGGTTGATGGAGGCGGCGGTGCAGAGGGAATTCACAAAATGTGCCAATGTCTCAACTTCGGCACCGAGGGATGAAACACCCGACGTGCGGGTTGGAAGTCCATGCAGTTTGCTGGCCTTTAGCGATCTCTAGATTGCCTCAATGGAGACCAATTTTCGCGAACAAAAAAAACAACGTACGGTTAAGTATGTCGATCTTTTTTTCCATGTAAATTTTTGTGTGAAATGTCCCACTTTGTATTTTATAGCATCCTAAGCCTCAAGGGCAACGGGAGAGATTTCCCTTTTCGTTGAAAAAGAACACTTTGGAAATGTGTCCGAAATTCGCAAAAAAACTACGAAGGTTATTGTTGTCGATTTTTTCCCACGTGAAGCAAAGTACAGTACGTCAAATTTCCTTTTTTAATTAACGTATAGCGCAGTAAGACTAAAGGCAATGGAGGTAATTCCCTTTTCGTAGACATTTTTTACTTAAAATGTAATACATTTTCGCAAAAAAAACAGGTTAGGTGCGTCGATTTTTTCCCCACGCGATAAAAAATGATACCTTGAACCAGTTTGGCATTGACATAAACTGTACATCATCAAAACAATGATCAACTCCCAACCCTGCTGGCCGCTATGAATAAAAAAGCCACCTCGGGGCTTCTGGTTAATATCTGCAATGAAATCAGGGTGAGACAGGGTCCTGTGTGTGTGTGGGGAGCGGTTGTGCAGTGGTGAGCACACCTCACTGTGGACTTGGCGACCCGAGTTCGATTCGCATGCCACTGCTAAGAGTGGCGATATCTGAATGGATTCCTGGATGGGCCTCCTCTAGGACGACTCAGCCTTGAAGGGAATACTTTGACTGTGATCTGTAAAGACATGGCCAGCCATGGCACTGGCCACACCATCCACTCATGCGCCGTGGCGGCCTTAATAGGTGCTCGCTTTACAGTATTTGCATCAATATAAGGTTATCATCGAGGGTATTTGTTTTTGGTTTGGTGTGTGTCGTGGAGTTCAATGAAAAGGGAATTTGACATTTATTTTTTTATTTTTCCACAATTGTAAAACATCATTTTACAAGCATCATCATTTGTGTGTGCATGCGCACTAAGTGTTTGCATGTTGGTCCGGTCCACGATACTCGTCCCCTGGGGCGCGCGTGCATGTGCCACCGTCACCATCGCGCGCTCTGCACGAGGTTGAGATCCTCCGATGTTGGCGAGATGCTCGTGGTAGAAGCGACCGATACGCACCCCTTGGCAACCTCCACTCGGGTGGCAGCGAAGACTGCCACCGTCTTCCCCCCCGCCCCACGCACACCACAGACATGTGCCCGGGTTTGCAATTCGCCCGCACCTCACGTGCGCGCGTCTTTGCTCCGCGTGCATAAGGTGCTCCCGAACTCCACTCGGCCCAGACGACCCGTGCAGGCTATGCAGGGGCCGTCTTTGTTACATGGCACACCTTGCAAATACTCGACGCTTCAGCGTGCTCCGATTGCGACTGCCGTCCACTGGGGTCCACGGGGGCCCTCGCTCTAGAGAAGGTGCGGAGGTGGATGTATAATCTTCCCAGGGGACGAGGAGGTGTTGGGGAAGGGGGGGGACGCGGAGCTGAGAGTTCATGCTTGTTAAATAGGGCCCTGTACTAATATTAAAACTCAACGTACGTTCCAGTGAATATCAATAAAATACCTCTTTCGGGCACCTCAAGGGAGTAGGAGGGAGGGGGATTGTCCACATCGGGAGACACCAAAGGTGGCACTCGGATTTTCTGCGTTGACCCCGTGACATCATCTAGACATCAAGATCTAGATATCTAGACATCAAGATCCAGACATCTAGACATCAAGATCCAGACATCTAGACATCAAGATCCAGACATCTATACATCAATATCCAGACATCTAGACATCAAGACCTAGATATCAAGATCCAGACATCTATACATCAAGATTCACACATCTACATGTCAAAATTCACACATCTACATGTCAAGATCTAGACATCTACACGTCAAGATCTAGACATCTAGACATCAAAATCCAGACATCTATACGTCAAGATCTAGACATCTAGACATCAAGATCCAGACATCTAGACATCAAGATCCAGACATCTATACATCAAGATTCAGACATCTAGACATCAAGATTCAGACATCTAGACATCAAGATTCAGACATCTAGACATCAAGATTCAGACATCTAGACATCAAGATCCAGACATCTAGACATCAAGATCCAGACATCTAGACATCAAGATCTAGACATCTAGACATCAAGATTCAGACATCTAGACATCAAGATCTAGACATCAACATCCAGACATCTAGACATCAAGATCTAGACATCAAGATTCAGACATCTATACATGAAGATTCAGACATCTACACATAAAGATTCAGACATGACACATCAAGATCTAGACATCTAGACATCAAGATCTAGATATCTAGACATCAAGATTCAGACATCTATACATGAAGATTCAGACATGACACATCAAGATCTAGATATCTAGACATCAAGATCTAGACATCAAGATCAGTCACGAGGGTGGCTTGGGTGAGTGTAGCCTCCTGTGGCCAGCTGAGAGTGAGCCACGTGGCCCGCTAACAGGTCGCGTGTCCCGCTAAGGCCACCATGGAAACAATCTCGATAAGCCCATTTGCCTGGATGCTAAACTGGGCCGTCCGGTGTGGTTTTAACAGGCCTAGGAAATGACCACTTTGAATCCAGCACAATTATTTACATGACACTATTTGCTATTTACGTTGTACTGTATATGATGGCAATTTTTCCTTTACGACACTTTTTTCATTGTTAATGATTAAGAGCGTATTCTTCTACGGAATGGTTCCACACCTGGTGGGATCCTAACAGCGGAGTAAGATGCGATTTGACCCCAATCAGAGCACATCTCATCCTAAGCACAGTGGAGACTAAACTAACAATGTTACCCTTAATAAGTATAAAAATACTCTATTATATATACATACACAGTACATATGCCTGCACGATTACAATAACGTTCCATCCTTGACAGGAAACATAACACACATTACATTTCAATAAAAAATATTAATAATGCCGCTTACAATATTATGTAAAAAACACATGACTGTATCGGATCTGAAAACGCAAATATTGAACATTGACACCGTTCTAGAAAAAACATAACTTAAAACAATAAAAAAATTTATAACTTAAAACAATCAATTAAATTCCATTGCGGGCATCATTGCAGCCTGGACGAAACCTACGCAGGAGACCCGCTGAAACGCACGGGGGGTGAAGCAGGGTTTGAACCCAGGATTCAGAGGCGCAGGCTTGGATCTCAAGATTTGGGCGTCAAACGCCAGAGCCACGTGGCTCCCTTGAAGAGGCCCTAAGGCTCACGGTGGCCAATCCGTTTCCGGAGAGAACCGAGCCGGCAGCACCGAGAATCCCGGACTCAGACCCGGGCTTCAGCCGCCTGAGATTGTCACTTCTTTTAACTTATTCCTGCTCCGAGGCCTAAAAATGTCGGCGTATTATGACATCGCCATTTCCTGCAGCAGGGAATATAAAAATCTGTGCCACCTAAAATATGGCAGCCATCACCTTCTGAGGGATGTTTATTTGACACGGGCTGGCGCAGCTACCCTGCTACGCGAGTTGCGGAGAGTTCCGTTGTCTTGCGACACCGATGGGGGCACTGCTATGAACGTCGGCACAGAGCGGCGAGTTGCTCCCCTGCAGGTGGCAGGGGCGGCGTAGCAACTCGTCACGCCGTGCGGTGGCCCAGGGAGGGAGACTTCAGGACCTTGGCCTGGCACCACCCCCGCTGGGCCGCCTGCTCTGTCCCGCTGCAAGCGGCTCGCTCGGTGTCTCTGCCACGCGGCGACCTGTCGCTCGCCCGGATCCAATTAGAGACGAGTCCCAAACAAAACAAAAACAAGATCAACAGCAATGCAGCAGGTTTACATTCGTTTCTTTAAATAAGAAAACTGCCGAGTCGCAGGACGTGCTTTTGAATTCCCCACTCTCTGTAAAGAAACCACCGCGGTGCGCTTCCCACCGCGCCCCGGCCTCGCCATGGCCACCGAGAGAGAGCGCTTCCGCGGTGAGTCTAAACACCGCGTGGGGGCCACTTTCCCATCGTCCCTTGCTATTCACTACAAGCTCAAAGCCTGCCACAGATGGCCTGCGAAGCACAGCCTAGGTATAGAGGCGAACAACAGTGACGTGCTTTGTTCGGGCTGAAGATTTCTGTGGATTGTTGGCTGAACTGGCGTGGGCAGCTGCGGCAAGAAGTGCTGGCGCTAGCGCTGAGCGAGCGAGCGAGCGGTGGGACGTCTCCACCGGGAGCTCCGTCAGTGGCCCGGCCCGACCTTGTCACACTCGCTCCGCTGGTCTTGAGTTGACACTTGCATATTATTTTGGTGCCATTTGCATAAAATGCATATTCTCGCACGCAAGATTCAGTGCGAGTAGCGCGAGCGTGTGACTCACCTTCGAATTATAAAATCGATCGACTGTCGCGTGATTTACTCTGTGCACTCGTGTGCGCCCTACATCCGCTAACAAATCTCATTGCGACGTTTTACCAAATGTTGTACACGTTAGACTCGATAACCGATTGGCTCTCAACTGTGCGACGGGCGCTACGGCGTGGTGGACGACGCCGCTCCCTCGTCCGGCGGGGGGTCCACGCCACGAGCGGAGAAACACCCCCAAGCAGGACCCTCCTCCTCCTCAAGGAGTCTTTTCAAAGTGTCCGCTTGAACTGACCCTAACGAGCCGCTAATTTCCGATGATGTGACCCGGCACTCATAACCAGAATTCGAATTCACATCCCGCTACAACGACGAATAAATACGACCCGATTTCAGTGCCGGTATATTCCACGCGTGGGCCGGCTGGCATAGCATTGCATTCCGAGACAGCCACTGTTAACTTTCTAGTAAGTGGGGCTCACCTCAATGACACCAGAGGCATGATGAATGACGCTTACTGAGAGTGGTGGTGGTGCTTGTGGTAATGCTAGAGGGGTGTTGGTGCTGGTGCTAAGTCTTCGTCGACTCGAGCTGTGATGCGAATGCACAATTCCACCACTAGGCGCGCTACTGCTCTACCACGCAAGCGACGTTCCATGCAAAACTACTCGGACGAGCAATCGGGGCGCGGGGGGGGGCAACTCAACTCTCTTCGTTGCCCCGAGCAGGTGGTGGAAATTCCCCGACATTCAAGAAACACCAAACGTCCCGTTAACCCTTCCCCCACCCCACCCCCCCGGGGCACGAGCCGTGCGTCCTCACGCCGTCACCAGCGCGCTCATCATGGTCTCGAACAGCAGCACCTGCTCGGAGAGCCGCACGAGGCTGCGCTCGAGCCGCGCCACCGCGAGCCGGGGCGGCGACGGCGCCGCGCCGGCCGTGGCGGCGTCGCGCGTCGCCTCCACGAGGTCGCGCAGCGCGTCGCACAGCGGGGCGCCGAACGACGCGAAGGGGGCGAGCGGGCGCTCGGTGCCGCCCCTGGCCACGGCGTCGCTGGCGTAGGCGAGGCGGTGGCCCGCGATGACGGCCGCCTTGCTGTGCATCACGAGCTCCTGCGGCACCCAGCGGCCGCGCCGCACGCACGCCGCCAGCGCCGCCAGCGCGTTCGCCATGCCCGACACGAGCTCGCAGCGGCCGCGCTTCGACAGGATGCGCGCCAGCTCCGACTTTGCGCTGGCCGGCTCCGGCGCCTCCTGCCGCTGCTGCTGCTGCTGCTGCTTCTTGATGTCGGCACCCTGCAACAGAGGAGGTTACCGTTTAAAACGATCAGAATGGTTCGGTGCACGTTACACTCTGGCATTCAACTGGCGATCCATAGCTACGTCTCAAATGAAGGACAGGTGATTGTTTTACTTGGATAACTTCATGTACCTGTTTGTGTGATATCTAAAAGCTGCAAATTAAAATCTGTCCACGTCAGCTTCTTTCACCCTTCCCAGTTTGTTTCGAAGCACCGAACTGCCATGGTGCGACGAGCGTGCCGGGTCTCGCCAGTTTTCCGTACTTCCAGCGAGCGTTTCTCCGGCGCATGAAAAGGACGCGTTTACAGCGATCTACAGGTCACAGCGAGCTCAAGGGTTACAACAAGCGTCACATGGTCGGAATTCCGATGACAAAAAACTATGAAAAACAATTTTTTATTTTACCAGGGAAGGCACACGGAGCTACGTAGCTCTTTGTCAGTTGCGACCTGGCTACAAATGAACGCTCAACGAAGTGGCTTATTACGTCAAAATACATAGCAGCCAAATAATTTAAACGCGTGATTGTTGATTACAAATGTAGAGGGGAAAACCAGCGGACGCGGAGAAAAATCCACGTGACCACGGGGAGAGCACGCGGACTCCAAATATACAGCAGGCGTCAGGGATTGGGATCGAACCCACGAGTTCCTGTATACCAGGGGAGGTAGTTTACATCTCACCACCGTGGCGCCCCTGCTTACAAGGTAAGCGGTGGCCGCCTTTGCCAGAGAAATTTCCGCCCTCTCGCAATGGGCTCTCAAGCCCCAAGTGATTGTAAACCTGCAGAAGGTGAGGTTCCCGATTCCCTGCACTCTTCCCAAGCCCCACCACCATCAACACTGCGACCGGCAAGCGAGCGCACGCATGCAAGCACGCACGCATGCACGCACGCACCCGCTTGTCTGGGCGTGTTGTGGCTCAAGTTCAACATTTTTTATTTCTGACATAATTTCGTTAGGCAGCCGAATGTCAACGAGGCCGAGGGCGTGACACCGGGTTACTCAGGCAACCCGGGAGGAGTCGGCTCGGCCGCTACACCGGCTGCGACTCATTTTGAGTCTCGTCAGCGGGGTGTGTAGCCCTGCGAAACGCCACCGCTGCACCTCACGTCAAAAGGCACGCCCTGCGGTGGCGGCTACGCTGCATGTGACCCGCACGCCAGAGCTGTGGAGGCAGCAGCGAGGGTCGGTGGATGGGACACGAACTGCTGAACTCCCTTCTCGTGGGTGTCGAGGAGCAGCCCTACCCTGGCTTGCCAAAGGGCGGAACAGTAGTCACAGTTGGAATACGGTCACGTTTGGTTAGACCACAGGTTTTGTCAGCGTAGAAAACACTAAATTCCATTTCCGTGCACCTCTGTTACTTATTAAGGACCACTCAAGTGGAAACATTTTACTGCCAATTTAAACAAATACCAGTCAGGCCTTAGGTGCCTCAAATGATCGCCCAACGTAAAGTCACGTTCCAGAAAGCCGCTAATTCAGTGTCGGCCGTCTGAAGACGTCCAGGACGATCGCGGTGCGCAAACAACAGCAGGGAAGAGGGCAGACCGCGGAAACCGCTGCAACGCCATGGCAGGAGGCGGTGCTCCTTCGGTTGCCATCGTCCAGTTGGGAGCGGTGGCGCACAAACCGCCGCTCGGCGATTTGTCATCGAGACCGGCGGTGGGCATGCTGCGACTCTTGTTCGGGCCTTCTTCGTACGGCTCAAGTTCATGTAGAGCTACAACTGTAATAATGTTACGTGGAGGTGGTCAAGCCAGACGATTGCGTCGGGAGCAGTGGAGCGTTGCTGTGATGGCGCCTCCTCCTTCGTGTTTGTGAATTCGGGCAGCGAATCGTCTTATTTTCTCGACCACTGAGACATTTAGTCATCCGAGGCCTGCCTGACAGCTGACTCGGGGCTTGTTAGGCATTGTATTAGAAGCTCTGGCCTTGGCTATTGCTGGGAATGCAAACTGTACGACGCTATACCCAGCAATGTACAGTAACCCAACACCTGATCAGAGACCTCGAGGGAGAACGAGACGGCGATGGACGAGAGACACGAGCGAGCGGACCGGGGGTGCAGATGAACAACGCCGAGAGGACTCAGCGGAGGGAAGAGGGGTGCAAGCAGGTGTCACGGAGTGAGCCGGATAGTGCCCTCGAGGAGCTGCCAGTGAGCGGAGGAATCACGTCATGCCAACAGACGGCCCCCAGAATATGACTTCACAGAACTGCTTCTGGGTTTTGGACGTTACCAGTGAGAGCGCAAGTTACCGGCACCAATGTTCCCGAATGTAACCACTGGCATTCGTATCTGGTTAGATGCTGTTATTTTCCATGGAACCATTTGAGGGTTTGAATAACAGGAAGAGTGGACAATAGGCATCTAGTTGCACATTGGAATTATGGGATACGGCACGAGTAACAAACAATTGGTGGGAAGAAATAGGAAATACAAATGACAAAATGTGTGGCATTAAAACTATTAACTATTTTTTATTTTACCAGGTAAGGCCCACTGAGCTATGTAGCTCTTTTTCAGAAGAGACCTGGCCACAAATGATAGCTCAACGAAATAGCTTATCACGTGGCAATTTATAGCAGCCAAATACTCCAAACGCACGTGGATTCTAAATGTGGAGGGAAAAACCGGAGGACCCGGGAAAAAAAATCCACGGGGAGAACATTCAAACTGCAAATATACAGCAGGCGTCAGGTTTGGGATTGACGACCTCCTGTGTACCAGGCGAGGTAGTTCGCATCTAGCCACCGTGGTGCCCCTTGTCGTCCTCAGCCACGGTCAATCCACTGCTTCATGAGGGCCTCACCAGGCCACCGCCATCTCCTCACAACCTTGCGATATTTAATTATAATCCTCCACCTAGCACCTGCACACAAGCTGATTTCGACATTGTAGGGGTGCGTGGTCTGCAGGTGCAGAGATCCTCCGTGGGGCGAGTCCCCGGGCTGGAACCCCACGGTCGCCCAGTGGTTTTAGTGGAATGAGGATCCTCGCCGCGTGGACGCGGGAGGCTCCCCACACGTCATGGCTGCCGCGCGTTGGGAGCGGAGCGGCGAGCCCGCAGTACCTGCTCTGTCACGGAGGGAGAGGTGGAGGCCTCGTATGGATTCCACCCGCCCTTCTCCTCCTCCTCCTCCTGCCGCCGCCGCAGCAGCCACGGCTTCTCCAAGTCGGCCTGGCCCTGCGGCACGACACGCGGGCACCCGCACGCCCCAGCCACGGGTGAGCCGGCGTCGCCTGGTCACGACGGGGCGGCAGAGTGCGGACCGGAGAAACCCCCGCGAGGCAAACCGTGCGTGCGCGATGCACGCATCGTTCTGCCTTCCCGCAGGACGATGCGTGCATCGCGAGGCCGTGGTACAGCGGGTAGCTTTGCGGCAGGCTATTCGGGCAGAACTGGCGCCGGGTCAGCCCTTCCGCCCTCTGACGTTAACACGGCGGTCAACGTGAAGCGAGATCCGCCACCGTGCCACAGAAATGTGGAATTTCCAACGAAGGCTTAGGGCCAGAGACGGAGGCGATCACCACCCGACACGCTGCCTGTGCTGCCGATCGTCATCTCCTCTTGCCACGCGGAGGATTCTCCGGGCAAACGTTCCGACGAGTTCCTGATCGGTGCTTTTGCGTGCGCGAGGGGGAAGCCAGAACACAAAAACCGCCCGGGACTCGGCGCAACATCCGAGTTGACAAGCTTATACTGTACGAACAGTGCGATTGTTATTTAAATGTTGTGTCGTATCGAACAGAGAAGGTCCTGGCTTAGGAATCTCTGGCACTTGACACTGAATGTCAAAACCAGTCCAGAGTTTGCTCGGGTTGCATCAGACGGCCGTGCGGCTGATGGGATTCGTAGAAAATAAATGATGTGTTCATGTGGAGGGGCAGACGTGAAAAGGAGGCGAATTCTCCGCTTGTTCAATTTGCCTCACGCATTATTGTAAATTTAAAAAGGGGAGAGAGCTCATCAAAATTCCGAACGTGATTTCAAATGGAAGTCGTGGTTTTCCTCCGGACGGACGCCGCTTCATTATTTTCCCCCACTCGTGCCAGGATTCGGGCGTCACCTTACGAGCCACGTTCCGGGGAACGTTGAGCGTGCAAACGGGCTCAGCGGTGGTGAGGGAATCGACCTCTAACCCTCACTGAGCTGCCCGGGATGAAGCGTCACAGACCGTGCACGGATCACGACCCACGCCACTGCGATCCCCCGTGGTAATCGCGACCACCGCTGTACCTGTGCTGACAACCCCGGACCGGCGACCGACATTCCACCGACATTCGGCGTCTCTAGAGCAGAGACCACGGCGTGTCTACAGCAGAGACAACGGCGTGTCTAGAGCAGAGACAACGGCGTGTCTACAGCAGAGACAACAGCGTGTCTACAGCAGAGACCACGGCGTGTCTACAGCAGAGACAACGGCGTGTCTACAGCAGAGACGACGGCGTCTCCTCCCACTCCCGTAATCAGGAGCTCCACTGCTCCTGATGCCGAGGTGCCGAGGTGTTAACTACCTCACCTGGTATGGAAGAAGTTGTGGGTTCAATCCCGACCCTGACGCCTGCTGTATATTTGGGGTTTGCGTGTCTCTCTCTCTCCCCGTGGTTGTGTGGAATTGTTTCCAGGTCCTCCAGTTTTCCCCACCACATTTAAAAATATGCGCTTGGAGTATTTGGCTGCAATAAATTTCTACGCTTTGGAAAAGGAGCTACATAGCTGAGTGGGCCTTACGCCTCAAATGGCGAAATCAGCTTGTGTGCAGGTGCTAGGTGGTTATTGAATATCGCAAAGTTGTGGGGAGACGACAGTGGCCTGGAGATGCCCTCATGAAGCAGTGGATTGACTGCGGCTGAGGATGACAAGGGGCACCACGCTGGCTAGGAGATGTTAACTACCTCGCCTGGTATGCAGGAGGTCGTGGGTTCGATCCCGACCGTGACGCCTGCTGTATATTTGAAGTTTGCATGTACTCCCTGTGAATTTTTCTCCGGGTCCTCCAGTTTTTCCCTCTAAATTTAGAAACGTGCGTTTAAAGTATATGGCTACTATAAAATTCCACGTTGTAAGCCACTTAGTTGAGCGATAATTTGTGGCCAGGTCACTTCTGATAAGGAGCTATACAGTAGTGTTCAAGCCATGTAAATAATAATCTGGCCAAATTTGTGTTGTGAGAACCTCCACCACTCGACAAATTAAACAGTTGCGCAGTGTACGAGTGTTTTACAACGCGACAATTGTTATCGTCTCACGGCGAAGAATAATTCTCACAATGCGACGCATCGAGCACATTCAGGAGAGAACCCAGGAGGTCAAGGGTACCGCTGACATTTCTTTTTCCACCGGCGCCACATGCCGAGCCGCCCCTGATCCAGCCACATTTATTTAGTTGAACCCGGCCGAGGACTCGAGAGACCAGGACGAGTCCCGGCACTCTGTCGCGACAACAGAGAGCGACGCGACGGAGCCGCCCGTTCACCTGCAGCTGCGCGCTGTTGCAGTCGCCGACGGCGTCCGCGTCGGCGCTCGGCACCACGCTCGGCGCCACGGCGGGCGCCACGGCGGGCGCCACGGTCGGCGCCACGCACGTGAGCGGCGGCACCTCCCTGCGGCGTGGCGAGGCGGGCCCCGCGTCCACCCGGGCCCACGGCTCGGCCGCCGCGAGCCGCGGGGTGCGGTGCACGGCGTCCAGCACGGCGCGCGCCGTCTCCGCGATCCGCTCCTCCCCGGCGCGGGCGCCGCCGCCGCCGGCGTCGCCCGCGCGAGGGCGGCCGTGCGAGGCCCTCGCCGCCAGCATGACGCGACCGGCTCGCTCGAGCGACACGCACGAGTCGTCCAGGCCCCGGAGCAGAACCCGCAGCTCCGCGGCACCGCCGCCGCCGCCGCCGGCGCCGCAGACCCCGCGGGCGAAGTCGACGAACTCCCGCAGGCAGCTGGCGGCCATGCGCACCGCGTCGGGGGAACCCGCCATCTCGCCGCCTGCCAGCGGTGTCACGGCGCTCTCCACGGACTCGCAGAGACGCGAGAGCGCGCCCAGCGGACCCTCGGCGGGGTGGGGATACGGGGGCGACGACGAGGACGACGACGAGGAGGATGACGAGGATGAGGAGGTGGATGCCGGGGATGGGAAAGACGAGCCGAGGCCAGAGTCGCGTCCCGAGCTTGCGGCGATCGTGGCGCCGGTGGTGGCGTTGATCGCGCTGGTGGCAGTGGTGGCGGTGGTGGCGGTGGGGACTGGGAGCCAAGAGAGTTCCGTGCAGGGGAAGCGGTCGCGTGCCGGGCCGTCTCTGCTCACCTGCGACATGGTCAGAGGGGCAGACCGTCATCGCGGTGGTCGCAGATGGCGACGCTACTGCACGTGGTCATCGCTTCCTACTCCTTCCCTCTGGAACATTTCACAACTGTGGCCAAGTGATGCAATGTCACCAGACCTCAAAACATGGCGTTAATGCAACCCTGGCGACGGTGATAGGTTAGGGAGGCCTTCAACAAGCAGTGGATAGATCGTGGCTGATGATGATGACGTAGGTCAGCAGTTAGGTCCTTAATTTTAGAGCCCACAAAGAGTTTTTTTTCTGTATTAAAAAAAAACAAGTCTCTGTGACAAAGCACACAACATAAACATTAGGCACACAAAACCCGCAGCCGATAGTTAAACATCAACACTGAGAGACGTCTATTGTCGTGGATAAAAACAGTGGAAACATCTTTCAGACATGCGCTCCTTTCTTCACTCACTCACACCGTGCTTTATAAAGGAATCGCTTTGCATTCCTTTATAAATGGCCCCAACTTTAAATCCACAACGACGCCTCTCCCCCCCACATTCCTCGTCCTGTCCCAACACCACCCCAGCCATCGCAGCGACGTTACACTCACAGCGGGCGTGCCCGCTGTGAGTGTACGCACGCTGTGGGTGTACCCGCGCCACCGGGGCTCGCGAGCTCAAAAAACATTTGGCTTGCGTGTTGTACGTAAGTTGAACTTCTTTCGCACCGTACGTATCCATTGCGTGTTAAAATCGGAGGTGCGGGATCCTTGACAATAATGCTGCAGCACAGAGTCCTTACGGCCGAGCAAGTGTGCCAGACTGTGCCTTAGCAAGAAAACCAAATTGTGTTATCATAATTATTATGCCGCTCGTTTCCCCAGGAAAGCCCCACCGAGTGTCCAGGCTCTTTTTGGGGAGGGTCCTGCCAAGCTTCCACGGTGAGGGGGGAGTGGGGTGGGGGCGATGTTGCTGCGCTCAATCCCAATCCAGTAAATTTGCAGGAAATTGTCCAGCATTGGGATGTGGGGTTGAGCCAACAGCAGTTCCACCGGGATGCGGCTGGAACCGGAGGAGACCCACGCAGCAGCAGCAGCAGCGTCTTCATCGCGATCGTACCTGGGGCGGGATGTCGTACATGTAGCCCGCAGCCGCCCTGCCGCCACGGCCGCCCGCGCCGTGCCCGTTCTCAAAGCCGCCCACGCCGGGGCACCGTCGCCCGGCCCTGGGGCTGTCGTAGAGCCCGCCGGAGAACGGCACGGAGGCGGCGGCGCACGTCCCGGCCGCGGCCACGCGCGCCCCCCCGTAGGGCCGGCAGCTCGGCACGGGGACGTCGTAGTCGGCGTCCGGCCGCCGGCAGCAGCCGCCGGCGCCGCCGTGGGTCCGTGCCGCCGCCATCATCGCCGCAACGGCCGCGGCGGGCTTGGGGACGTCGTACTCGGCGCGGTCGCCGCACGCCGTCGTCCTCACGGGCTTGGGCACGTCGTAGTCCTGGGACGGAGGGAGCGGGGGGAGAGGGACGTCGGCACTGCCGCTCAGGGAGGCCGCGGGACTGCAGCCAACCTGCGGTCGGACACTGCACGGCCGGGGCACGAGCGAGTGTGCAGAGTGAGTGCGAGTGAGTGTGAAGGAGTGAGTGTGTGCAGAGTGAGTGTGAAGGAGTGAGTGTGTGCAGAGTGAGTGTGAAGGAGTGCGAGTGAGTGTGTGCAGAGTGAGTGTGAGTGAGTGTGTGCAGGGTGAGTGTGAAGGAGTGCGAGTGAGTGTGTGCAGAGTGAGTGGGAGTGAGTGTGTGCAGAGTGAGTGTGAAGGAGTGAGTGTGTGCAGAGTGAGTGTGAAGGAGTGCGAGTGAGTGTGTGCAGAGTGAGTGTGAGTGAGTGTGTGCAGGGTGAGTGTGAAGGAGTGTGTGCAGAGTGAGTGTGAAGGAGTGCGAGTGAGTGTGTGCAGAGTGAGTGTGAGTGAGTGTGTGCAGAGTGAGTGTGAAGGAGTGAGTGTGTGCAGAGTGAGTGTGAGTGAGTGTGTGCAGAGTGAGTGTGAAGGAGTGCGAGTGAGTGCGCAACGCGAGAGTGATCCGATGCCTTCCACTCACACTCTCGGGAGGGCAGTGATGCGTCCAGTACAGCGCTGACGAGGGGACGTTGTACATCTGTGACGAGGCGAGGCTCTGCGCTCGCAAGGCGCCCGGGGGCACCTCATAGTGAGAGTGCTGTAGAGGGGACACAGAGACAATACGTCACCATCACCGCCATCACTGCCTCCGTTAACATTAACAGCACCACTGAATCCACTTCTGTCATCATCGTTGCCACCAGCACCACCGCTAAAAGACCACGTAAACACTCATTAACTGGCCGATGACGCTCTAATAGAGGACCGCAGAGCTTGGGCAATGATTTGTTGGCCACACCGGCTCCTCACCGCGTAGCGGTTGCTGTTCCCGCTTGTCCGTGGTTCCTCCCCCCGGCGTGCCCCTAGTCGTTCTCTCTCTCTGTGCGCGTTACGAGTTATTATTATTACTATCGACCGGGCCGGATCGTTGCGCAAGACCTTTGTGCGGACACGTCGCCCCGAAAACTACTTTGACGTTTGGCGTCCGCGGTGCGGGGGGGGGTGGGGGGGGGGGCCCCCCTCGCTCTCTCCCGCCCAACCGGCGCGGTGGAGCGGCACGCTCGTCCGCAGCCAACGACAGCGGCGGAAGACGACCGGACGCCGAGTTCGCGTGGCGGCTCGCACCGTCGCTTCCGCGGCTCCCCCGTCTTCGCCACACAAGCAGCATCATCCTCCCGCACGGCGTACCTTCCCGGCGAGGCGAGCGAAGCCGCCGCCGGCGCCGTCGTTCCACGCGGCGTCGCCGTGCGGCAGCGGGGTCGGGGGGTCGCCCTGGGCCCCGAGGCCCGAGCCCCGGACCGGCGCGGGGCCGGCGCCGAGACAACCGCACGGCGAGCGCGACGGCGACGGGCGCGGCGAAGACGCGGAGGGCGCCGCGACGGCGGCGGACGCGGGGGAGCCGGGGCCGGGCGGGGACGAGCCGCCGCGGGACCGGGCGGGGGCCAGCAGGGCGAGGCGGTTGGCCGGCACGAGTCCCCGGTGGCCGCGCAGCGAGCAGAGCCACCAGCCGGGCAGGGCGGCGCCGTCGCGCGCCACCACCTCCAGCACGTCGCCCTTGCGGAAGTGCAGCTCGTCGGGAGACTCCGCCTCGTTGTCGTAGAGCGCGCACGCCAACACGCGCTGCCGGGGGACAGGGCCACGGTCATCAGCGGCACGTCATCAGCGGCACCATCATCATCAGCACCAGCACCATCAGCAGCACCGTCATCAGCACCATCATCAGCACCATCAGCAGCACCATCATCATGTTATTGAAGATCAGATCAGCGGGAACGCCGTCATCATTGTTTTTACTTCAATCGTCATCATCATGACCCTGCTGCAAAGTTCTCTGCCAAGTCCACTCGGCTGCAGCTCCCTCCTGTGCCTAATCCCCCCGCCTGCTGTGCTGCAGCAGCAGCAGCACGTGCGGTGACTCTGTAGCCCCTGCCACCAACCTGCTATCTGCGATGTTGGCTATGCACGACCACATCGAGAGCAAGTGATTAGATAACGCGATGAAAGATAATGTGGGGGAGAGAGAATATGATGAGATAAAGTGACGAGAGATAGTGGTGCGTTATAAAGTGATGAGAGATAGAGTGATGAGAGAGATGCATTATTTTCATCTGGACCTTATGGCGGGACCCCGGGGTCCGATAAGCCCCCGGCTCTCGCATAAACTGCGTTGCGACGTCATTTTGTGTCTGTTGAAGGCGAACGACACGGCGATCTATTCCTCTCGACGAGCTCTACACGATGCGCTAATCAAAGTTTCAAAGTTTTGTTTATGACTACGGCTGCGCTTGGACGACACGACAACAGAATGATCCGCGCCAGGTGGGTGGCGGTGTTTATGTGCGCGGTGGGACGTAGTCGCCACAAGGTTAATGTATGTAATAGTTTATTTACGTCTTTAAGGTACTGTACTGCATGAGAGCAAAATCATCATCCGCGAAATTTGCTACTCGCGAGCATCTCCGGAACGTATCCCTCGCCGTGAACAAGAGGAGATGCCGTAGCTACTGCAGACCTACGGTCCTCGCCTCTCACTGGGCCTCCAATGGGGCTGTCCACGGCAATTCAAGAATCTGCGGGCTGCTCGCACAGTGGCAACAGGGGTGGGCCCAGCATGGCTCACGGTGTGAATGGTACATGGCAATCTCAACAAAGACAAAGATCCCCCATATAGCCCTAGCAGACTGTTGGGGCAAGTGCTGTTCGCGAGTAGCACCTATGAAGGGTGGCACAGCACACGAGGGGGTGAGTGGCCAGCACCACGCCCGACCACCTTTGTCTCCCCAGTGGCGATGCTTTTACGCACCGCACCAGGTACTCATTTGAGGCTCAGTCTTTGTTCCGCCTGCGTATGCATCTCGCGCGTTATCGCGTACTCTGCTTTAACCTACATTATTTTTTATATTTAATTTATAAAAAATTATTATATTCTATTTGTTATGTTCTATTTATAAATTGCGCGATTTTTTTTCGCCAGAAACGCGGCGGTCTTCAGGAACGCGACGCCCGCCGTGGCGCGAGAGGAGAGCCGTGACGTGCCCCCTACCCCTACCCCGCTCACTCTCCTCCCTTCACTTCGTCTTCCCTCGCCTGCCCCTTCCCACATGGGACTACAAAAACCCCGCTCGCGATCCCCGCTCGGTGGGGTCGGCGGCGAGCCGGGTCTCTGCGTCCGGGACTTCTCCCCGCGGAGTTTCTGTAGCTCCCCCCCCCTCCCCCACCTCTCTATCCCGTGACGTTATTCGCAAGAGGAGGCCGTCCGTTGCCTGCCGACGTCTTGGTTCCAAAATGTGTTTTTTTTTTAAATGACTCGCGGGGCACTCGATTGGACCGTGTGTGGAATTCACTGCCCGCCTCTCTCAGGACCCTACGGAAAATGAATCACGACACTCCGAGAGGCTTTCCTCTTATACTGAGTACAGTAACCTACCCCCCCCCCCCGCCGTGACACCCCAGCTATACTGTACGAGAGTCTATTCACCGCGGCTAGTAACGACTAAGGGAAAGACTAAACATCGGAGAACACAACACAAACATCATCGAAGGCATCACAACAAGCAACAAAGGAAGTCAATGATTGAGTGAATCACCGAGGCGTACGGCCATCAACATGCGATAAGAGACCGAACATAAAACCGGTGGAGGAATTCATCACACACCTACGGAGCAAAACAATTCAAGGCCCTGAGGAAGAAAGCCAAAATGAATGGCACTGCTCTGTTATCTCATCATGTGGTGCACGCGAGTAGGCAAGAGGGCAAATCACTTGGCACAGGCGACGCCACTTCTCGCTGTGATGTTAAACGGCTTCTGCAAGTGCTGCCCCTGCTACCCGCAACGGTGAACCGGGATGTGGGTGGGCGACTCGGGAGGAATCCTGAGTTCGCGACGGGGTCACGGCCGAGCTACCCCGGGTTCACGACGGGGTCACGGCCGAGCTACCCCGGGTTCGCGACGGGGTCACGGCCGAGATCCCGGGTTCGTGACGGGGTCACGGCCGAGATCCCGGTTTCGCGACGGGGTCACGGCCGAGCTACCCCGGGTTCGCGACGGGGTCACGGCCGAGATCCCGGGTTCGCGACGGGGTCACGGCCGAGCTACCCCGGGTTCGCGACGGGGTCACGGCCGAGATCTCGGGTCCGCGACAGGGTCACGGCCGAGATCCCGGGTTCGCGACGGGGTTACGGCCGAGATCCCGGGTTCGCGACGGGGTCACGGCCGAGCTACCCCGGGTTCGCGACGGGGTCACGGCCAAGATCCCGGGTTCGCGACGGGGTCACGGCCGAGATCCCGGGCTCGCGACGGGGTCACGGCCGAGCTACCCCGGGTTCGCGACGAGGTCATGGCCGAGCTACCCCGGGTTCGCGACGGGGTCACGGCCGAGATCCCGGGTTCGCGACGGGGTCACGGCCGAGATCCCGGGTTCGCGACGGGGTCACGGCCGAGATCCCGGGTTCGCGACGGGGTCACGGCCGAGCTACCCCGGGTTCGCGACGGGGTCACGGCCGAGATCCCGGTTTCACGACGGGGTCACGGCCGAGCTACCCCGGGTTCGCGACGGGGTCATGGCCGAGATCCCGGGTTCGTGACGGGGTCACGGCCGAGATCCCGGGTTTGCGACGGGGTCACGGCCGAGACCCTCGCTGACGCGAGCCGATACTCCCCTCCCGGCCCCAGAGCCGGTGGGTCATTCGTCCGTTCATCATGCTTCGCGAGGGACCGCTGTGTCAAACGTGCGACCTCTTGCGACAGCATTCGAAAAAACTGCTCTTGATGCCATACACCGGCGTCTCGAGTGATTTGTTTGATCACATTGAGGGTCGCAGTTCCACTTCTAACCTCGACCGCCAACTCATGCGCGCAAAATCCTAAAATGCTGGAGTTTGCGCATCAAGACAGGGTGACGTGTCCACAAAGTGACAGCCGTTCTCCCTCGAGCTGAGCTTTCGATCGCTAGCAGACCTGTCGCAGATGCAACGGTGACATTTCTGACGAAGTCGAAGCATCAAGATGCCAAGAAGGCGCCTTTGGGCATTGTCGATGGCTGCACAGAAACTATCGCCACATTGGAGTCGGGTTTTCACTTGCTTCGGAAAATTTCCATCTCTGAGATTACGAATTTCTAGGCATGACTACCAAGTGATGCACACGTCTAATGTCGGATAACCTGGGCTCGATTACAATCGTAAACGCGTACTTTTCCCTTCAATGAGCATTGTTAGCGATTTCAGCTCACGATGCTGCTTTAATTCGAATTCTACTGTGGCGTAGGTCTGACGGAATGTTGGTGCGAGTGCGGACGGCGGGAAATCGAAGGGAGCTCAGAAGTAGTTCTGTAATATCATCTTTCACCGCTGAGTGCGAGGAGTTTTGGATGTAAATTCCATATTCTTGTGACATCACACACCAACAGCATAACCAGGGTAGAATTTTTTTCCAAATAAGACTATTTTTTATATTCTAAACATTCACATGGTGCTCTGAGATCTAAAGGGTGCCTTATAAATTATATACTTTAGTCGGACAAATTTAAATTAGGTCATAGGGTTCCGTTGTAAGGAGTTGTGTCGCTATTCCTCATGGGCACTCGCATACGACAGCGAGGGCCCCCACACGTTCACCACGACAAGGGGTCCCCCCCCTTGCCAGAATGTCATTTCCCTGAACGAACGCACGAGCCAGGCACGCGCGCACGCACGCCGGAGGTCTCTGTGCATACCTGCTGATGATGCTGATGCTGCTCGATGCTCCGTGCGCGCGTTCCAGAGCGGTTTGAATCCGCACTTTTTTTTTGACACGGGCCACGCCGACCCGGCAACTATTTTACGGAGCGTGTCTCGGTATGCCCAAGATTGGCTCGTGCCACAACATCCGGACACACCTTAAAAAGGAAACTGTACGAGTGTATAACAACGATAATAACGGAGTCGATTTCGTGTTCGCCCCGTTCGTGTAGCACAAGGCTGTCACGAACGAAGGCGCTGTGCTCCAACGATATGGTCGGCCGTAGTTTTACGGGGGGGGGGGGGACGATGTTACGATGTTCCCGTGCGTAATCCCAATGGCGGAATCTGTAGGCCATCAATCAAATTTGGAAACTTTGGACAATGTCTCCTTTATCCAGGAAGCACCCGTATCCCACTATTCCGTGTAGCGTCTTGGAGACGCGATTGCATTTAAATCCAAATTGTAAGGGGTCATTGTGCGGCATTCATCAAGTGTTTAAACGCAACCGCATCTCTCAGGAAGAGGTACACGCAAGGAGGACGCGTGCATCGATGCAGCTCGGGGAGGAGAACATTCGATTGTCTTTTTAGGCGAGGAAAAAAAGCATGGAAAAGTTTTGTGCTGGGCAGAGGGGGCAAACGACGGTGGTCGAGTTGCCCAACTTGGTAGAGAGAGAAAGTGACCGAGCGGCGTTCGGAAAGAATGCCGCTCGGATTACCGGGCAGCTGTAATGGCAACTCTACAGCCAACGCTGCACAAAGTGGCTAAAGTGGCCCACGCGCCCACTGCCAACTCGCCCGGCTACCCGAACGTTGTTAAACTTTCAGGCCTGCAGACACCACCGTCGCCATCACGTTGCGTTACGGCCAAAATGAGCGATGCCGGTTGGGGACCCGAGAACCCGGGAGCGTTGCCGGGACAACCGGGGAAGAGGAGGGGCGGTCGCGGCCGTGAACCATCCCTGCTGCCCGACGTCGCTCGGTTTCCCTTGCCCCCCCCCTCCCCCGGCGGCCCGACCCGGCCCGGCCCGGCCTGGCCTGGCCCAGGCCGCAACACCCAACCCAGCATGCAGCAGCCTAAGTGGCTTTAAACTAAACGTAAACATTATCTGGCCGCACAGCTTAAGAATAAAAATGAGGCATTCACCCATTGCCGGATGAATGCCTACCCCAAGCCACGGCCACTTCTCGTGATCCTGCGCTGTAACAATGCACCCAGCGCCTGAACCGATTTCATCGCTCCATCTCCACGGTAGTCGGCCTTCTTAGATGGGCTCCATTCCTTGGACGCCACTCCGTGGGTGCCTCGGTGGCTAGGAGATGTTAACTACCTCGCCTGGTACACATGAGGTCGTGGGTTCGATCCCGACCCTGACGCCTGCTGTCTATTTGGAGTTTGCATGTTCTGCCTGTGGTCCTCCGCCTTTCCCCTCCACATTTACAATCAACATCACGCGTTTAGAGTATTTGGCTGCTGTAAGTTCCACGTGATAAGCCACTTCCCTTGGAGCTATCATTTGTGGTGGTCAAGTGGCTTTTGAAAAACAGAGCTATTTAAGTTCAGTGGGCCTTACCTGGCGCGGCACTTCAAACGATGCCCCACTTTCTAACACAACCCCCACCCCAACCTTCTCTCTCCGCCCAGCAGTATGGACGGGGGGTCACCACAGCGAGTCGATTGGCGGGTGGGGTAAAGAGTGGGTACTCCCACCTCTTCCAATGCGTCCTAACGCGAGGTCAAGGGCAGGTTACCGCTGGCTAACGGCTTGCCGTGGCTGTCAATTGAACTCAGGATGCGGTACGTGCAGTACAGTGTGCTAACCACAGTGCCACAACTTGCCACGCTATATACAGTAAACAGAGACAAAGGTCCCCCGTGCAGCCTGAACAGACTGTGGGAGCAAGTGCTGTTAGCGAGCACTTATGAATGGCCGGCACGGCACACGAGGGGGTGGGTGGCCAACACCACGCCCGACCGCCTTTGTCTCCCCAGTGGCGATGTTTCCACACCGCACCAGGTACTCAGTTGAGGCTGAGTCGACCTAGGGGATGTCCAGGACCGGTTCAGGAAATCGTCACCAGTGTTGGCCGTGAACGGGAATCGAACTTGGGTCGCCGGGTTCGTAGCGCAGTGCGCTGACCGCTACACCGCCGCTCCCCTACACTATGTATGGAGTAAACACACACACAGACACTGGTGGCACGCGTGTGTGGACACATTTGCAGCTGTCATGTAAACATAGCGGCGTGACAACCGTGCGGTTTTATCTGGCGAGAGAGAGAGAAGCGCTGCAGATGCACTGCGATTCCGGCGTTCCCCCTTTGCGGAGAATCTTCCCCCGGCCGTGGCTCCGGTTGCAGCCTCCACTCCGCTGGGTTGCATGCCAAGTCACCCCCCCCCCCCACAACCCAATGGCAGAGTGGCAGATTCTCCGATTCGGAGCTCGCAATCCGACGCAAATCATTCTCGCTCCCTCTTTTTTCTCTCTAGCCCCCCCTCTGCCTCGCACGTTCCGTCTCCTTCGTTCCTTAGCACGGAGACGCTGCCGGGGTCTAACGGTTCGCGCCCGATGCACGCGCACGCGACGTTCAAAGTTTGATGGGAGGGGATAGGGGAAGAGACAACTTGGATGGAGACGGCCAAGCGGGAGGCTGCCCTATGGCTTGGGCGTGAACGGCGCCACAGCTGATGAAGCTGGCAGCAGGAAGGACGCGATGGCAAGGCATGGTGGCATCGGCTCTGGTGACCTCTTGATCTCGCATAGGAATGAGGTGACTGATGAAGTATTCGTTCACCTTGATAGAAGACGCCAATTGAGGTTTTCCGCGATCTGTTTGTGTCAGAATCATATGTATTTATACTGGAGGAATCCGATCAGCTATAGAGCTCTTTTTCACAGATGCCCAGTAGGGGCACGGGGTAAGAATCTTACAACAACAAACATTAAACACGATAGAAGTGCAAAGTACAAGCAAGGTTAACAAATCACCCAAACACAAACAAATACAACACTAAATCATCCCCATCTTACCAGGCAAAGCCCATGGAGATACAGTATTACCTTATTTTTCAGAAGCGACCTGGCCACAAATGATAGCTCAACAAAGTGGCCCATCAATTAGACATTTATAGCAGCATCATCATCTGAATAATATCAATGCACGTTTTCTAAATGAGACTAGTGTAATGAGACTAGGGGGAACACTGGGGTTCCACGAGATCACGTAAAACAATGCAGATGCAAGTAATTTATCACACTTGAGAATTTGGCTTACGATCTTGTGGCAAATGATGAGGAATATATCACAGGATCCCAATCCGGTCTGCGCCGGATAGCACGCTGGGCCGGCGAGCACATCGCTCTAAATATTTACAGCAATGCAGTGGCAGATAAATTATTTAAGCGCCACAACATTCAGCCCAGTTCTAAACAGTGCACTCTGTTGAAAAATATTTAGACGGGGCACGGAATCCAAATTCAGTAATTCACTATTGACGATGGAATGTGACGGCGATTCTAAACAAAACGTGGCAGCATTTTGTAAATGTGGTTTTGTTTTTGGTAAATAAAATAATTAAAATGCTTAATCGGGCCGCGGGTTCGTTGAGCCGAGCGGCGCGCTCAGCCAGCGCAATCGGCGAGGCTGCCGAGTCGGCGGCGGTTCCCCTCCGGAGAGACCGGTCGCTCTTGGGCGTGCAACGGCTAAGCGGCCCCCGTGATGAACAGCAATTCTCACGCTTTGTCAGAATTGACCATCGAGACGTGAACGAATTTTCTGTACGCGCGCGTTACGATTACGCGCCAATGTTAGGGTAATGGAAGGAACGAGGTGAAACTAAACTATTTAACTGTTTTTTTTTATTTTACCAGGCGTGGCCCACTGAGCTATGTAGCTGTTATTCAGAAGCGAGCTGGCTATCACAAATGATGGCTCATCGAAGTGGCTTATCACGTGGAAATTTACAGCAGCCAAATACTCGAAATGAATGTTTCTGAATGTGGAGGGAACACACAGAGAACCCAGAGAAAAATCCACACGACCACGGGGGGAACATACAAAGTCCAAATATACAGCAGGCGTCAGGGTTGGGATCAAACCCACGTTCTCTTGCATACCAGGCGAGGGAGTTAACATCTCGCCACCGTGGCGTTGTAATCTGTGGGGTTACACTGCCCATTCAGGCAAAAGTCCAGGATAACTGTAAGAATTGTCACGGGCAGAGGAGGACGTATGCACACCTTTCTGGGGGGGATGGATAAGAGAAACATCGCAGGCATAAGTGTTCACTGGAAATATATTAGGTGTGCGTATAGAGGATATGCAACAAATTATGAGTGGCTGATGGTCAAAAATAATCAAAGTGGCAGCCAAGGAATGGAAGGAGCCTGAGAGTACGTCTGCCGGGGAGATGGTTCAATGAAATCGGCTCGTGTAGGGGCAGTTGCTGGGTGGATCGTGAAAGGTGGCTTGGGTAGGCTTTCATCCAGCAGTGGATCGACCATGGCCGGCGAGGATGTTGACCGTTGAAGCGGATCTCACAGTCCCGCTTTGCCGCTCGCTCCAGACGGCCACTGGGCGCCAACTGCGCTCACAATCGCGAATTCCCGAGGTCGGCGAGGCGGTGGACGCCGATTAAACTTTCTCACCCCGGATCGGGGGAACGGCCGGGCTCGCCACAGGCCCCGGGGCGCCGAGCCGGAACGTTTGGGTTACGAAAGCCCCCCTGCCCCCCCCCGTGAGTCTGCCCAGCTGCGAGCGAGACTGCCATGCTCGGCACGAGGGCCGATCGAGGTGGCAGGCAATGGCGAGAGGGCTCCGGCAGAAGCAGCAGCAGCAGCAGCCTCATGGAGAGAGACGATGAGGGAGCGGAGGGCAGGGAGGATGTAGCGAGAGGGCGCCGTGCCAACAGAGCGCCACGTCCGTCAATAACATTTAACTATCGATATATGGGTGAGAATGAAAGCTATGTTCGTCACTGGTGTCGGCCGTGAGCGGGCACCTGAACGGCGCCTACTGCTGCTGCTGCGCGGGCAGCTGACCACGGTCGCAGCTCGGAGCAATTTTCATTTCGATGTCTGCGCCGCCAGCCATGAAATTGGTTAATGGCTGCGAAATTTTCTGTGACCGCGAAAATGTTCATCGGGGGGTGTGGGGAAAGTGGGGGGGGGGGGGTGGGGGGGTTGCTCTTTCCCACAGCAACAACAATTCGTGTTAACAGAGGGCCCCGTCTCTCACGACGTTCCGCCTCATCTCTTCACCGCGAGCCGAGCCTCGCCGACGTTGCGCCGAGTTTCCGCTTGCAGGCCACGCGGCCGCGGCGCCCTGCGCCTCAGAGCGCTCACGCACGCGCGCAGAGACCCTCCCGTGCGAGACCACACTCCTCCACCCCGCACTCCTCCACCCCGCACTCCTCCACCCCGCACTCCTCCACCCCGCACTCCTCCACCCCGCACTCCTCCACCCCGCACTCCTCCACCCCGCACTCCTCCACCCCGCACTCCTCCACCCCGCACTCCTCCACCCCGCACTCCTCCACCCCGCACTCCTCCACCCCGCACTCCTCCACCCCGCACTCCTCCACCCCGCACTCCTCCACCCCGCACTCCTCCACCCCGCACTCCTCCACCCCGCACTCCTCCACCCCGCACTCCTCCACCCCGCACTCCTCCACCCCGCACTCCTCCACCCCGCACTCCTCCACCCCGCGGCACCGTGGACGGATCCCCACGTCTGGAGCGGCGTCGCCACGGGCACGGAGATCTGTGCCCCAGATGGAGCGATGGGCCATCGCGTCACGGCTGGACGAACACGAGCACACGGCCCGCTCTCCCTCCCGCTCTCCCTCCCGCTCTCCCTCCCGCTCTCCCTCCCCGCTCCCCGCTCGATGTTCGATCTGCTGCCGTGCAATGTCACGAAGTGCGCTTGCAGTTCTGGCGAGATCAGTCGGATGTACAAAAAGACCCCATTTGGGCAGCAGTGGGCAGTGCAGCAAAGCCCACGGTTGTGTGTACATCTATGCCCCCCCCTCCCCCCACATCTATGTTCGTCCCCAGCCTTCACGAACACTCACGGATCAGCGTGATGATGCATGGCCAAACGGACCGCGCGGTGTGGACACGAACTCATCCAGCGGTGGACTGAGCACGTTGGGCTAGCGGGGGAGGGGTGCTCGAATCTGTATTTAGTGAGAAAAACGAATCGCGATATAAACCACGAGAAATCGCGTCTCCGATTAGCACGGTTGGCAACGTACGGTGCGAAAGAACTTTACCGGAGTACACACGGTGCAGAAACAGGGCCCACGGCGTCGGAGACAGGCCACGGGGGCCGCCACGTGCGCTGAGCGGCACGGCGCGACAGCGCGGTTCTACAGCGAGCTGCCGTGGGGGGGGGGCTGTCCTGCCGTGGGGGGGGGGGGCTGTCCTGCCGTGGGGGGCCGCTGCCGTGCGTGCCGCGTGCGGTCCGTTTCCGCCCAGGACAAGCCGCTTGCCGTTCCATCTCGCCGTGAGCCGACACCGGGGTAGCCAGAGAGGCATCATCCATTATTAAAAGAAACACAATTAGACAGCAGCTTTGAGGTGGGTCGATAAATCCGCACACACTCACAAGACAAAGACCCCCACCCCCCTAGACAGATCTTTGGGGTGAGTGCTGTTAAGCGAGCACCTATGAAGGTCCGGCTCGGCACACGAGGAGGTGGGTGGCCCGGCCACTCTCGTCTCCTCTCGTGGCGATGTTCGCACGAGTCACTATCAAGATACATTCTCAGGCCGGTCACGTTCACTCGCACTCATTGTGATGGTGACCCGAGACAAGAGGCCCACCCACAATGCAGTCGTTTTCCTTCATGACGCACCGTGGCCGTGCGCTTTTGACGCGAGTTGTTGTTGACGCGAATCGTTGGATGCGGCCGTGCTGCTGGACAACTCTCTTCAGGCACGACCGCAGCCCCGATGAGGCCCAGGAAGGAACCCCCCCCCCCCCCCCGCGTAGGGGGGCTCAACGTTCTAGCACGGTCGGCAGGGGCGTGTGGCCACGACGGCCACTGCATGCCGGCTTGCTCGGGCCAAGATTAATTCCCCCAGCCACGAGAGTGAAATTGCTCTTTAATTTAGTCAATTTAGTTACTTTAGTTAATTGTAAAAGCGCGGTCGTAGGGGAACGTCTCAGAGCCGTGCACCATCCACGAATAAAGACAATACGAGATGACTGTACAGTCATCTCGTATTGTGAATGCGTATTAAATCAAAAATTATTTACAGCCCTGCCTACGCCATGTCGGCCGTGATGGTTGTTTGACCGTACTTCACCGCGCCGGTCAGTGCGGGTTGGTGAAGTGGGGGGTGGGACTCAGGACCGGTTCGGATAATCGCTCGACCACCGATGTTAGCCGTGGCCCGGAATCGAACTGGGTCGGCGTGGCCGGGTTCAGCGTGGCCGGGTTCAGCGTGGCCGGGTTCAGCGTGGCCGGGTTCAGAGTGGCCGGGTTCAGCGTGGCCGGGTTCAGCGTGGCCGGGTTCAGCGTGGCCGGGTTCAGCGTGGCCGGGTTCAGCGTGGCCGGGTTCAGAGTGGCCGGGTTCAGCGTGGCCGGGTTCAGCGTGGCCGGGTTCAGCGTGGCCGGGTTCAGCGTGGCCGGGTTCAGCGTGGCCGGGTTCAGCGTGGCCGGGTTCAGCGTGGCCGGGTTCAGCGTGGCCGGGTTCAGCGTGGCCGGGTTCAGCGTGGCCGGGTTCAGCGTGGCCGGGTTCAGCGTGGCCGGGTTCAGCGTGGCCGGGTTCAGCGTGGCCGGGTTCAGCGTGGCCGGGTTCAGCGTGGCCGGGTTCAGCGTGGCCGGGTTCAGCGTGGCCGGGTTCAGCGTGGCCGGGTTCAGCGTGGCCGGGTTCAGCGTGGCCGGGTTCAGCGTGGCCGGGTTCAGCGTGGCCGGGTTCAGCGTGGTCGGGTTCAGCGTGGCCGGGTTCAGAGTGGCCGGGTTCAGCGTGGCCGGGTTCAGCGTGGCCGGGTTCAGCGTGGCCGGGTTCAGCGTGGCCGGGTTCAGCGTGGCCGGGTTCAGCGTGGCCGGGTTCAGCATGGCCGGGTTCAGCGTGGCCGGGTTCAGCGTGGCCGGGTTCAGCGTGCTCATTGCCGCTTCGCAGCTCCCGCCCGGCGCGGGCGCACTCACACAGGGTGCTGCGTCGTGGTCACTCAGATCGCTCGTCATCGCGCGGCACTCCAAAGTGTTCCTTTTGCTCCCGCGCGGCGCGCATCGTGATCAGAGGCCTGTGCTGGATGCAAATGGGGGTTGAGGTAGTCCAAGACGGCCGTGGATGGACTGTGTGACCAAGGGGATAGACTGTGACTAAGGGGATAGACTGTGACTAAGGGGATAGACTGTGTGACTAAGGGGATAGACTGTGTGACTAAGGGGATAGACTGTGTGACTAAGGGGATGGACTGTGACTAAGGGGATAGAATGTGTGACTAAGGGGATAGACTGTGTGACTAAGGGGATAGACTGTGTGACTAAGGGGATAGACTGTGTGACTAAGGGGATGGACTGTGTGACTAAGGGGATTGACTGTGTGACTAAGGGGATAGACTGTGTGACTAAGCGGATAGACTGTGTGACTAAGGGGATAGACTGTGTGACTAAGAGGATAGACTGTGTGACTAAGGGGATTGACTGTGTGACTAAGGGGATATACTGTTTGACTAAAGGGATAGACTGTGTGACTAAGGGGATTGACTGTGTGACTAAGGGGATTGACTGCGTGACTAAGGGGATATACTGTTTGACTAAAGGGATAGACTGTGACTAAGGGGATAGACTATGTGACTAAGGAGATAGACTGTGTGACTAAGGGGATAGACTGTGTGACTAAGGGGATGGACTGTGTGACTAAGGGGATGGACTGTGTGACTAAGGGGATAGACTGTTTGACTAAGTGGGCGACTGGTAGGACATACGCCCAGCTCAAGCAATGGTTGCAGTTGTTTTTTTTAAATCACTGTCGCCGTGCGTGGCACCCAAAGGCCCTAAAACGCCAAGCAGCGAACAACAAACGGCACTCTTCAAGTAAACGTTTTTTTCTCTTTTTTACGGAGCAAGGTCATAAAGAGACGACGGGAGGTCCCACAGCGGGGCAGTGCGACGAGCGAAACGGAAAGAGAAGCGGTTGAACGTGGAAGGCACTGGGCAGAAGGCGAGGCTTGTTCCGAGCGGTGAGCCAGAATGTTGAAGAACCGTGAAGTGGCCGTGGAGATGATGGCTCGGGACAGGAGGACTGAGTGGTGGAGAAGGAGGAGCAGGATGGAAGTCAGCACACGAGTGGGAAGAATGCCAGGAAGGAGATGGCAATATTACGGGCATAAACTACTCAACCTCACTGCCATTTATTTAGTCAACAGCCCATCGAAATTCAGAACCTATTTAAACGAGAGAGAGAGCGAGATCTGGGACGTGAAATTCAGTACAAAAGGTTATTACCATTCTCTGACATTTTCAGGTAATTGTAAACAGTGTGCCGAGGCGGAAGTCGTATATTTGGCAGCGAGGTTGTGAAGCTCGCTGGGGTCGAGGCGGCTCTCTCTCTGTGTCCCCGCGGCATCGACGGGAGCCGAATGTCACCGCCGCCGCCGCCTCCTCCGGCCGCCCACACACCCGCCGTGCGCGCCGATTTCCGCCGCAATCGCCTCTCACTCTCGATTTCCTGGGATTTCAGCAGCGGATCGCAGTGCCGTGACCACGATGCGATGGAACCCCTGCGATGGAATCCCTGCGATGGAATCCCTGCCCGCCACCAAAAATACTTTCTTTTCTTACGTTTAACCGCGATGCGTCTGGGCCACCACCGCAGAGTAGCGGTCGGCACGCCGGACAGGCGATCCAGACGACGCCGGTTCGATCTCCCGGCGCGGCAGTCGAAACAACAACAACAACAACGGTGCAGAGGTCTCTTCGAGCCCTCCCACCGCCGCCGCCGCCTCTGCCCCACCCAGCGGTGCGAATCGGTTTGGGGGGCCGCAGCCCGTCGATGGGCAGGTTGCGTGTGTGGTGGGGAGAAGCGTGAGGTGCTGGCACGCCTCTTCAAATAGATCTGGCCAGGATGGCGCTGGCAAGCAATTGCAGGGGCTGCGCCTTTACTTTGTGTAACCTCTGCAGAGTTACAGGTGGCAATGTAGGCAAGGGACATTTGCGGGTCCTAGGCTTGTTGTTTTACCGCGTGCTGTAATTGTATTTACGTTCACGACTCTTTTTTTGTCGCCAATTGTTTTCCCAATCGTGACGGCTGCCGCTGTGTGGCTGGGTTTCACAATCGGCCGCTACAGTTCAAATTCCAGTTGGGCGTTGGACAAAGTCATAAAATATATGAACCACTCTGTGGAACGTCCTCCACTGTTGCTGTTTGCAAAAACCGCACCATGCCATGGGAATGTGGAATTTCCTATCCCGGCTCAATGCCTCAAAAAACGAGAACGAGTCCAGCCCCGCGCAATCGGAGGGGTCCCTGAGTAACGGTGGAAATTCCACATTCCCATGGCAGCGTCAGCGTAGCGAGCACCACCTGGTGGAAAGTGCCTGAGGGGTGGGCCTGTCATGGGAACGTGGAATATTCCCCAAGGGATCAGGGCACACGTTAGAGATGAGCAGAATTGTATAATTTGATCGATTAACATTTCTTATCTATGGGACTTTTATTCCCAGTCTCAAAAATTATGAAAAAAAATATTTAGGTTTTACCCTTTCTGGCAATAAAACGGGAGGTTTTTAGATCTATTTTGCTGTTTGAACATCTTAACACCTCCTGTTTTATTGCCAGCAAGGGTAAAACCTACTCCCATTTCTTTTCATCATTTAACATTTCTTTACTTATTCTTTGGGTCTTTAGGTAAAAGTCACGTAGATAGGTTCAAAGAAAATAATTTTGGTATTTTGTTATTTTCTATAATATTAATTCCTGCAGTCGCAAAAGCTTCAAGTCAAGATTGATTAACTTCACCGACTTGACGCTCGGTGAAGTCGGTGGAGTTCTCTGCCCTCGCGTTTGCTCACAGACGAGCCTCTCGCGACCAACAGCACTTGGGGAGTTCTGCCGATTAGGGGTGCACATTTCCATGCGGAGCATGAACTTTGCACTTTGGACATAAACAAGCGCGGTTAATTGATTTTGCATTTCTTGTTGCTCTGCTTGCAAGGTTGTTGGCGCCTCGTGGCATCACAAACACGGAGCCGCGCGGGCCCTGCTGCGACTTGCTCTCTCATTCGCCCTCCTCCTCCGCTCGCTCGGCTCTGCTCGGCTCGCTCGCTTCTACCCGCCTCGACCCGTCTCCCGCGGTCGTGTCACAATGGCTCATCCAACAAAACGTCGCTCTGTCAAGAGAGCCACAAAGCCACCCGGTGACCTCGGTCACTATTTCGAGGCGTAAAAGGAGAAGCAACAACCACTTGCGGGTGGACGGCGGTGGTGGCGTTCGTGACGAGCGAGGCGATCGGGCCCCCTTGAGCTCCCAGGCCCCCCCCCCCTCGCTCTCGATGCTGGACGTCGCCCCGTGTCCGTCACGCACTCCCTGCCAGTGGCGCGAGGGAGATCCACGAGGTCCTCTCGGGAAGATTGTCTCGTTTGCGACTAGACCAGCCGAGTTTGCCACGCAAAAACAGTTTCGTGTCATTCCGTGAACGTGCTTCGATGTGCAGTCACGATGGCGTTAAGAAAATATTAAATATTGTTGCGCGTCGTCTGTTATAGAAAACGTTGAAGCAAATATGAGGAAAAGAAAACGCTGAAATAAAACACGTGTCACTTGTAGGCAGGCAAGCGGACAGAGGCTTGGCGATTGCTGCACAGTGAACCTGTAAATCTCAGTTCGATCCCTGGCCACGGCTAACACGACCGGCGAGTGGTATCTGAACCGGTCTTGGGCATCGCCCCCCTCTTAACTAACCCGCAATGACCAGCGGGGTGAAGTATGGTCAAAATTTCATGATCAACACTGTCTAGGGAGACTTGCATCCAACAGTGGACGAACAAGGGGCTATACATTTAAACTAAACTATAAACTAAGTACTCTTTGGTTCTTTCGGTAAAGTCACGTAGTTAGAAATAATCTAGAGATAGAGGGTACATGGGCACGAGCTTAGCTCTCTCGCTTTCTTCAGCAGTTGTTTCTCGCTGTAGTTGTCCCACCTGATGACGATTGCTTGTGTTGCCATCGAAACGTCGTGATTTTTTTGTCTACCTACGTGACTTCACCGAAAGAACCAAAGAGTATGGATTTGTGCAGTCACGAAAGCTTCAAATCAAGATATAAACTAAGTAATTTATTGTACCAGGTAAGGCCCGCTGAGCTATGTAGCTCTTTTTCAGAAGCGACCTGGCCACAATTGACAGCTCAGCGAAGTGGCTTATCGTGTGGAAATGTATAATAGCCACATACTCTAAACGCATGTTGACTAAATATGGAGGGAAAAACCGGAGGACCCGGAGAAAAATCCACTCGACCATTTGGAGAGGGATACACGCAAACTCCAAAATACAGGCGTCGGGGTCAGGATTGAACCCACGACCTCCATGTATACCAGGCAAGGTAGTGAACATCTCACCACCGTGGCACCCCGACACACTCGGGTTGGAGACAACAGGTCCCCACTGCCGTCAAGACTGAAATCTTCTCCGCCCGCCATTCACGGCCATTCTCTAGCCACTGCTGTACCAAGGCACGGAGAGACAGGGTCACATTCTTTGCTGCCCAGGGCGTGCCAGTTTACACACACACACACGAGCCGATACCGCGAAGTCGAGTTCACACACAAGGGGCTTTCATGTCGGTTTTGGCCCAGAGCCCGAGTTTCTGTGAAGTTGTAACTCGCGGGGGGGGGGGGGGGGGGGAGAGGTGTCTTCAGAGTGCCACCTCACCCCACCCATCCGGCACGGAGCCTTTACTCATCCCGCTCGCTTGGCACGGGGGCCCCGTTGTTGCCCCGTTAGCCGCCAAGCCCGATCGCCCACGATCGCGCGGTTAACCAGGAGCGAGGCCAGTGAGTCTCCCTGCTCTGCCGTTGCTCTCACGAGCAACGGCATCTTTGGTGGCAGTCACGGCCGGAAGCGGACATTCTACATGCCGATGGTAGGGGACAGACTTTGCACAGGAGGATTGCTGCCGACTTCGCACGAAGGGGCCCTCGCGTTATCGACCTCACGGTGGGCCATTGGGCTGCTGTTT